ACACAGCCTAGATTGAAACAATCTTGTATCACACCATTCGCACAGTCTCCACATAATCTAAAATTGGTTTTTTTTTTGTTAGCTCCTGGAAAACGTCGATTGAAATGAAGTAAATTGCATGAAGCAAAAGTAAAATACCTAGACATAGTGTCATAGTTTTCCACAAGAAACTTAAAGTAGCAACTCTTTCTTGTGCCATCACAAATACGATAACAGCTTTTTCCATCGTTGAACGTGGTATTCTCTGAAATCAAATGTTTTCTGTTCGTTAGACAGTTCTGAGTTTTTTTCTCTTATTTTTACTGTACCTTGGCCGAATTTTTGTTCTAATTGACTTGTACTTAGCGGAACTTCACTCTCACTGCCAATTGACAATGGAACTAAAAATATTATTGCAATTAATTTGTATCCCATTTTGGGAACCCCGTTCACTATTTTGACTGTAAATAACAAAATTCTCTTGGGAAAAAGCAGAAAAGATCTGAATGAAAGTTGCACCGAAACTGATGTTCAAACGATACAAGAGAGAGGTTTTATACTTTAAGTGAATTCCATAAAGTTTATTATTATCTCTTGCCGAAAAAAGAGCTGAATAAATCTAAAAAAAATTTCCCCAGTCAATAAATGTGTAATTAAGGTTTTATGGTTTCATTGTTCGTTAAATAAATGTTCCAAACGACAAACGACAAAGCGCCAAAACCACAACGGTTGTCTACAAATTATTTGACTTAGATAAGCTACTCAAACATTGCATCGTTTCTACTTCTTGCGGAGAAAAGGGTGCACATCCTTGATTTTGACGTAGACAGGAAATAAATTACTTCCGTACACAAAAAACAACCGGCATTCGACGTCATTTTAGATACATTTCCGAAAATATCTCCGAAAATAACCATAAGCAAATGAATACGTGATCAACGTCGCTGATCTGCTGCCATCAGTCATGATAACGTAACAAGTCACAAAGCATTCTTGCTGTTTTAATCAACATGCGCATCTGATTTTATGATTTCAGCTATCTACTGTCATTTGTTTTCTATTGCACGCGCAACATTTTGATAAATTTAACATAATACGCGCGAAAACTCCTTTGTTTTGTTTTGTTTGCATAATTTATTTTGTTATCATGCATTGGCGCCGCCAAATTTCCTAATTGAGTGTTTAAAGCATGGCCGGTGATCAAAAATATTCTCAAAATTGAATACGTTCAGAGCTGTTATAGGCACTGCAAAAGTGCGGGCACTTGAATATTCTATATATATATTCTCGCGGATATGATTATAATATCGGTTTAAAAATAAATGCGTATTGCGAAATAGTTTGAAGAATGATTTTGTGTTGAGCACATGATTTTATGATTTGAATTATTTCCCAGAACTAAACGAAACACGTTCTAGCTATGTTGTATTGCTTCGATAAGTGTCTTTCTTTTATGACTTTAAACTGTTAAAATAATTCTAATACCCATATGCTTCCTCTGCGGTGAAACGAAGCCCGCCGCGTTGAACAGGCAAGATAGTGCACACAGTATTAACGAGAGCAGTACAGCACACTGTACTGCTCTCGCTCCAACACACACTGTAAGGCGCATAATACGAACTGAGCATAAAAGCGTAGAGAGCCAACACACAGACATGCGCATTTTACAACGATTGAGTTTGCACAGGACTGAGAACACTCAATCGTAGTAGCCATGCGTACAGGTGTGTGTTGGCTCTCTACGCTTCTATGCTCAGTTCGTATTATGCGCCTTGCAGTGTGTGTTGGAGCGAGATCAGTACAGTGTGCTGTTAATAATGATGTGTGCACTATCTCGCCTGTTCAACGCGGCGGGCTTCGTTTCACCGCAGAGGAAACAAATGGGTAATAACTGTTTAAATTCTAGGATTAGAACATCTCTTAGGAAGGAAATTTTTCTTCTTCGAGTCACAATTTTAAGAACAACATTTTGACTGACTCACTTGAAATCACAGCTAAAACGAAAGTCCCTTTTTTGAAACTGCTAAAATGAAAGATATCAACTTGATGAAATCAATTAAAACGAAATTCGTCTGGTGTGCATGTGATGTATTCTTATCTTTCGGTGATATTCAGGCCAAAGAAATACGAAATCAACAGAAATGCATATCAAAAGGTTCAAGAATCAACAGAAATGCAGTTCAAGAACAATGATGAGACTATTCACGCGATTCTTTATAGCTAAAAAGTCATTATCAACATTTTTATGTGTGTCATAAAATGACGAATGAGAATGGTAGTTTTATGCAATTTTGCGATATTCATGAAAACATAGTAATATCTTGTATTGAGAGTGTAAAATTTGAGACAATTGCTCTAACTGTTAACACTAAGTCTTACCTCCAATGATCATTAGATAATCATTATAAGAGTCTAATTCGAATGACATGGATTCTTTTCCTTAGTGGGAAATTCTCCATCATAAATTTATTGTCAGTCATGTGGATGCTAATACGAACTATCATGAATGATTTAATATGTCACCTCAATCAACATTTATGATTTCAAACAACCAGCCGAGGTTTAAGAGTAATTTAAGTGTTTCAATTGAAAAAAAAGCGATTTTTTTTTATCAGCACAACAATTTATGATTCAAATCCGTAGTTATTTTGATGATATTTTGATAAACACACATCTGTTGTAGACCACCCACAAAAACCAAGATAATAAAAATGGTTGCGTACACGTGACTGATGTTCCACCCAAGAATGGATTATGGTTATCTTTGTGATGATGAATTAACATTATAACTCAAAATATCTGGAATAAAACATCGATTTCGTTCTTATTTACCATTTTATTTAATTCAATTAAATTAGTTTGAATTTCGATTGTGACAATTTTGCATTGTTTTTCTTTTCTTTTTAATCTAATAAAATGTGTAAATAGAATTTCTAAAAATATGTACATTTAATAGTGTTGTTTCTGTTTTCTGTAAATAAATAATTAGTGTATATCAATGCATTTCTTCTCTGAAACATCAAAAAGGCTAAAAAGTCGTTCGTTCGTTTGTAATAATTATTCGAGTAGATGCTCGTTCAATTGTCGATCCCTATCCAAAAAAAAAATAATAATATATAAACATAAAATTGTTTGAAACTTGAATGAGTTTGTTTCGCATGAAGCACTGCGATTGTATGTGTTGTGATGAAAAGTGATGTTACACACTTGTGTTACATAAATACTCCAAAAGGTAAATGCTTAATGTAATCAAGGAAATAATTGTTAAAACTTAAAAAAAAGAGAACAAAAAACTCTGCGGCTGCCATCGATTCCAAACTGATCTAAATATATAATTTACCTAAACAGTAACCAATAGATAGAGAGTAAGAGACTCTGGCAAGATAACGTATATATTTGTTTAATTCTTTGAGGTACCAATTTGATAGCGACCATCTTTAAATGTGACCACCATTACGGTTATATTGTCGACCGACCCACGATTATACGATTCAATAACAATACTTTTGGCGCCAAAATGCGGTTCATCAAGTCTATCTTTGATGAAGGTCACTGCTTCTTCATTCGAAAATGTATCCCACAAACCATCCGAGGCAAGAATTATGAACTTCGGCCTAAAAAATGAACACAAACAATACAAAGGTTAGTCAAAATGCAGTTTAGAAAATGTCATTTTTGTTTCGTTCGGCCCAAAATGGAAAATGGATTCCGAAAGTAGCACTTACTTGTGATCATTAAGCTCAAATGTCAAAATATCCGGTTCAGCAATGACAAAGTTTTTCTCTTTCAGTGGATAATCTCCAAGTGCACGTGACGTGGCCAAAATGCCGGCCACACGCCATACTCCTTTGAACTGCACAAAACCGCCTGCTTCCTGAATTCGTTTCAATTCCCTGGTTTGTTGTGGCTTGTGGTCGAATGACAATGGGATGACATTCCCTTTTCCATCGCACATGACACCACGGGAGTCGCCAACATTCGCCACGATTAATTGAGTTTTATAAAGCACGGCAAGTAGCAGAGTTGATCCGGCGACATTTTCCTGTGAAAAAAGAAGAAGATACAAATAAATAGAAAAATATTGAAGTTTTGTGTAAATAAAATGCTCATTCGACTTATTTCATCATTTTATCGTCTTAATATGGACCAATCCATCAGAAAGTTATGTAAATAATCATAAGGCGTAATAAAAGAAGTGCAGAATAAAAATGGAATCATAATCGAAAAACGTACATATTTCTTCGCCTTTTCAACGAGTTCATAGTCTGTGAGTAGTACGAGATCCGTAACCATTTTACCGAAATTAATTTTCCTATCCCTATCTACGTAATAGCCGGCGTCATGCTCTTCGGGTTTAACCGCTTTATTGGTTGTTTTCAAGAAGCTCTCTTTTGTCAGGCGAATCGAACTCAATTTGCTGAGGAACGAATCTTGTTCTTGGCTGCAATTCGATTTGGCCGGATTGCAATCATCATCTTGACTCAGTGCCTTTTTCAATTTATTTCGTCGTTGTGAGACAGGTGTTTTTGGCGGTTCATCGGTTTTCTTCTCTTCATTCTCGCCACTTTGCACTGGTTCAATATGATTGAGTAAGATTGAACCTCGTCGACGTGGTATCGGTGATATCTTGCCGGCTGAGATATTGATTGCTTCTTCGATTTTCTTGCCCAGTCGATCCATTAATTGATCTTTGGCAAAAACAGCTGCAAACTCACCGCCATGTCCATCAAGTATGGTGAATATGGTAACATCTGTGCCTTTTATGTTGGAAGCCATCACATAGCTGTCAAACAAATAAAGATATTTTACGATTAAGGTCAAACTGTTTGACAAATAAAAATACACGATGCGCGCGAGAGACAAAACAACAAGACAAACACACTATTCGAAAACAAACAAATGATATAATCGACACACTGCCAGGCATAAGTTTATTTATAGCGTTGACTCGTGCTTGCAATTATATAAGCCATTGTATAAAAAAAAAAACCTGAACCGTGTCGCGTCAATTTGACGCACAATTTGCGGCAAGTCGATTATTATTAAACGCAAATGAAGTAAAACGATTTGAAAATACACTTACCGATCTTCCATGCGTGGACGTCTGCCCTGCACCGCGTACACAGCACCATACTCATGAATTTCCTCCCAACTATTACGTTCGGCCGGTGACCGTGTTGATGTACGATCTCGATTACGCGGCGAATATAACGGCACACCGAAATGATGACCAACACGTCGCATTACGTTCTGACTCCACAATTCCAGCACATGCAAATAGCTCACAAAGACAATGCAAAGCAATGCAAAAACAATCACCTCCGTTCGCATGCAATATAAACGCAACAGTTTCCAAATGTAGGCCATGGTTGAGTTCAAGGGTGATATACCCATAGCAAATTTCGACAGAAACCTCATTTGTGACATGTACGCCTGGTAGAAGATTTTATCTTCTAATTCGTCATCCATGCCGTGCTGCCGATACTCTCTTTGGATTTAATTTTTCCCCTCTCTCTATCTCTCTCACTCTCTCTCGGTTCGTTTGTTGTTTTCTCAAGTCGATTATTATACACGTACACACGTACGATTTCAATGTCAAAACCAATCAAAATTGGCGGAAATAATGTGGAGCAAGCAATGAAAAATTGCCGTATTTTACTTGAATATTGTGTCTGTCGGCATAGAAAGCACTTGTGTCAATAGAATCATGAATGTTTTTTTTTTCTCTCGCTTTTCGTAACAGTCCGGCTATATTTATTAAACCAGATCTTTGGTTTTCTTTCTCTCTCTCTCTCCCTTTTTGCAAATCATACACTGGGTTTAATCGAAATTTTGCATTCTACGTCAAGAATTAGCTCGATATTTCTGTATCAATCTTTCGACAGCCTTTTCAAAACAGACTCGATTTGTGTTTGTTTTGTAGCCGAATTTATCACATGCACACACACACTGTTCCCGTATTATCTCTCAAAACGATGATGATGATGAGCGCCCGACAATTAAGAGCAGCATAAAAATAGAATATAAATCATTTGCTTCGTTTTTGACTTGTTCGAATGTGAAAAAAAATCGCTTCACGGCACCAATCATTATTGAATCGATGTCCAAATTGCACAATGCAATCAACACACTTTCAACACTCACATTAAACAAAACGGTTTGATTGTTTTCTTTTAATGTGCTACTAATAAAATGTACGACGTGATGTTTTCAACACTAATTTTCCATCAGAATTTTTCTTCGCATTGGACTGAGTTTTTTCTTTCTTCTACGCTGTGTTGTTGCTTACATTTCCTTTGATTGGATGATGGTGATGTGGCATGAAGTTGGCTCAGTGTGATGAGCGCCTGAAATATATGACAGTGACAAGTGCTGGCAGGGTTGGAATAATGTAAATAAAACTCGCTGTGTTTTCCCATCGCAATCATAATGGAATTATTGTTTATTTAATTTATTCCATAGCAATGCGATAGAGTTCAGGCTTGGTGAATTCACATGAAAAAAATAAAAACAAAGAAAATGAAAACAACTCATCATTTCGCTGATGTAATAAATTGTATCTTTTTTTATTGTAAATGGATTGAAATCTTCGAAAAATGCATTTATAAACTCTATTGAAATATTTATCGCAATATCGTAGTATCTTTTACTAGGCTGAATATCTGGATTCCAAATACACAATTTTGAAGCACAATCCAATTCTAAAAATTACTCGTAAATATTTAAAAATGAATTCTCTAGTTGGTTCTGTTGTTAGTTTTTTTAACTTCTTCTTTTTTCATCCATTTTCTTCTGGTTGTTTGACACTCAACATTTAACTTGCATCCTCCTCAGTCAGCTTATTCAACGAATATACATTTATTTTGTGTGCATTAATGCTTTTATAAAAGTATTGTTTTTTTTTTTGGAATCACGTACATCCATACAAATATATCAAAGTTTGAATGTCTAATTTTGGTATCGATTCTCTCTACGCACGCCATGCAACGGCGAAACCAATTCCCGATACACATTTATATAGTATATATAGATAGATTTTTCTTTTGTTTGCATCTGTATCATTATTTAGGCGAGTTCACGCAAAGCGAGTACCGATTGTCGCAAAAATTCGTATTGAGATTTAGCATGTTTAACCTCGAGTTCGGCCAATTCGATGAGGGATTTCTTGAAGGCAGCCACACGACGGGCACGGAAACTTGTTAATTCTTGTTTGCCACGAGCTGACATCGCCTCAAACTTTTCACATGCATCAGTTTGAGCTTGTTCGGCCTAAAAGTTTAGCAAAACAAAAGTCAGAAACAATTGATAAGATAACATTAATTGAGTGGCCGTTCACTGTCGTGCCAACATACGCTTATTGTATTATTTTACATTTTGATATGGAATTTCATGCAGAACAGAAACAATTGAAAATATAAATTGATAAGCGTGAAAGAACAACAACAACAACAAAAAGCGTTATGTATATGCATGTTACCTCTTGTACTTCCAAAGGCTGCTTGAAAAGAGTGAGTGTATGAGGAGGGTTTTCGATTAGTAAATTTTTTACATGAATGCCAAAGTAAGCAATGCGTTTGTTTTGTTGGTTAGAAATTCAACTTAACATTTAATGACTAGTATGAGTTGATTAGTGACGTTTTTATGGTACATTGCGTTGCTTTTTAATGTAGTAGAAAGTGACACTCACCGCATGAACGTCCTTATTTTTGGAACGAGCCTTCTCCAAATTCCGGTTTGCCGTTTCATAGGCAGCAAGGCAGCGTAGACGACGCACCAACAACGCTTTGGCTGCATTGCTATCGCGTTGGTAGTATCTCAGTGTATCTCCCAGCTTCAAATCTTGGTCACTCGACACACGTCCTTCCATATTCTACATGATACATGGATGGTATGAGATCAATAAATCAAACTTATTTAATTTTTTTCCCGAAAAAGTCAGGTCACGTCTTCTTCAAGAAAAACCTAAGCTTCATTCGAAGACCTTTTCTATTCCAAACTCAATTCACTTGCACTTACACGAATCTTTTCAAAAACTTCCGCACTTTTTGCGAGAAATTTCTCCATGTTACTGCCATGATGTGTGGACAACTGCACTAAATTCGTAAAATATGATTAATTCAGTATTTAAATATGATTAATTGATATTATTCACAAATACCTAAATTCGAGGAAATTTTGATATGTGTATCAGCGACTTCCTTGTGTTTTTTGGTCATGCGTTCGGTACGTGTGGCGGCTTCTTTCAAGTGTGCATTCAATTCGGTCAAGTAAGTGTATTCGTTTTCAAAGAAATCGTTCACATCACGAACAGTTGCACCCAAGTAAATTTCATCGGTGGTTTTGCCCAAACTTCGTACCAATCCGCCGAAGAGGTCGATTTTCTTGCGTGGTTTTGCACACAAATCCTGGTCATACTCCAAGAATACTTTCAAGTGTTGGTCAATGCGAAATACGGGATGGGAAGCCAGTCGCGACAGAAACACCTCATGCATTGCTACAGTTTTCTTGAACGTTGCCAAATATTCTCTGCAAAAATGAAACAAAATATTCAACCAAATTATTTATTCCAAGTTGCGACTCTCAATTGATTGGTAATTTGGTTAAAAACTCACGCTTCAAGCTCTTGTTTCATTTTCTTGAACTCTTCCTTAGTCATATTGCCCTCACCCTCGCCAAGGCGTTGCAATTTTTCACGTGATGCATCAAAGTCCGGTCGAGGCGGACACGGTGGAATCTAATTAGAATCAAATAAGAATTTAAATTCAATTACCGCACCATGTTTGATGGGGGAGACATTGAAAACAAAGGGCACTTACGATGTAACCAGCATACTCTTCATTCTCTTCATATCGATCGTGTAGCCAAATGAATTCCTCGTGTTGGCGCACAACGAAAAAGTCTTGTTTGGCGTATGTTGGAAATGTGGTGCGTGTATGTACGGTGAATTTAACCTTATCTTTTTCGCTAAGCGCATCCGATATATCAACTAACAATGTATTTTCAGCTAATGGAATGGAAGTAGTGGGTGTTGTTGCCGTATTGTTTGTGGCATTATTGTCACCATCGACGGAACCTTGTTGTTTGACCTGTGACGATATTTGTAGCGGTGGCGTTCCAGAGCCTGCATCCGATACACTTGCTACACTGTCACCATTATCACCGTTCTCATCGCCACCGTCACCACCACCACCACCACCATGCAATGGGCTACCATTTGTTGTTTCGTCAGCACTGTCCTATAAAATGAGAACCAAAATAATTCGACCATGAATTCATTTCCAATGTCAATTTTAAAAAACGATTGTATCAATGCTGTTTGATGTTGGTATCGTGACCAGTTTTTCCGTGACTCATTTAGCTTCGACGGAAACGAGATTGTGAATGTAATTTAATTAGCACGAAATTACGCCTCTTTCAATGCGATAAAAAAAACATTGCTGGCACTCGGTTCCATATCTCGGCAGCACCATTTACATATTATTGCAATCAATTGACTGTCAATTGCATTCTTGGAATCAATTTTTCCTATTTTATGCTTTAAAATCCATTCAATATGCTTACCATCATTGTTGCGGTGTTTTCTTGTTCGACCTTTTTTTTACTATCTAAAATCACTTTTTCCCAGTGCACACACACTCACACCCAACACCAATAGATTATGAATTTATTTTTTCGATAAGATTTTTGTTATCAAAATTTTGTATGACTAACTTGTTTCACGCACTCACAGAACAAATACACAACAAAGAAAACAACGATTAAAAACTGAAATGAATTGCTTAAAAATTCCTATCCGGTATGTTTGCCGTCGCGCGATACCGATATCATTTGTCGAATGAATGCAAAATAAATAGCGAGAATGAGTGAAAGAGGAAAAAAAAAGAAAGACACAATTTCTTTGGGGCTTTTCGATTTCTGTCCGGATGTTTTGTATGAGACAGATCTTTACAAGTGTTAATAATACTATGAAGATGACGTCGACGTTTTGATGGAAGTAATTGCAACAAATAACATTATACACACTTCGTATGAGCTACGTATTCGTTTATAAAAAATGACACAGTGAATACCTTCTACACACAAAAATTATATTGTAAGTCACACTAATCCAACAAGAGAGAATTTCTTATGTTTTTTTTTTTATTGAAATAAATCACTACAAAGCGCTGAGCTGGCTGTGTGTATGTGTGAGTGCGATTCTTGTTCTTTGCCCGTTGTTTTGTTCCTATGGCGGTGAAGTGTCAGTGCGAACGAATGCGGTGTAAATGTGTGCGTGCACCTTTGGTATCGAAAAGAAGGGTTGTCCATTCAATGTGTGATCGGCGGTATGAATAACAATTCTAACGTACAATACCCATTGCAATTGACAATGGAATTTAAGTCAACGATGCGATACAGAGATTTTAACACTAGAAAAAAAAACCAATTTCTAATAATACCAACGAAGGTTGGTGAAAATGACCATAGAATAAAAATGACCATAAATTGCATCAAAGTTAACTGTATTGAACGAGTTCCGATTGACATTTTTAACCTTTTGCACCGAATGAGTCACAGCTATGATTTTTGCAAAACATATATCGATATTGGACTGAATACTGTGATTCGATTTTTTTTCTTACCGTGATGCGAAAATATTTCTCCGGATCGATTTTCTCAAACATCGGCTTCGAATGATGTGTCGTTTCCAAAATGTTATTATTCTCTAAATCATTATTATCAGTTGAGAACACTCTTTTAACTGCACTTCCGAATTGACTGTACATTGTGTCGCTTGAATGTCGAAAAAAAAATGCTAAATAAATAAATATTATTAATCTACCCGTTGTCACAAAATGCAGCGTGCTAAAAAGGCACATGTAATTTATTTCACAGCCTCAGATCAACTAGCACAATGCTACAGTGAGAGAGTGTGCGAGAAAAAAGCGCACAACTAGGAGAAGTCAATTATCATCACCAAAATATCAACGAGAACCGTACGACAGAGAAAAATAGAGAGAAAGATAGAGCAAAAGCGAGAGTGAGAGTGAATGAGATGCAGTTACGAACAAAAAATTTATGAATAAGCGACCAATGTGTCGAACAACTCGTCCGCTTCAAGCGATTTTATAAATAAAACGCTTTGTTGGACTCGGACATATGCATAGTGTTTCACTCTTTTTGTCGTGTGTATCTTTGTTTATTCGTTTGGCTGATATATGCGCATTTTCAGCCGATTTATCGACACAACGATGATATACGACTCACATAATACGATAAACAACAACAACTACAATTAAATCGACGTACATTTTCAACGACAACAATACCGACATAGATTTTCTTTGCCCTTTACTTGTATTTATTGGGTTTTAAACCGACTAGCAAATGAGTTGGTGATCGTGAATGCTGTGCTGAAATGAAGAAAGTGTTTTTCTGAAAAGAAAGTCTTCCCTTTTCGTAGAATATGAAAACAATGTACTTTCGAAGAATCGGATCTGACAAATAAAAACTCCAATTGATTTTCAACTTCTTTTTTGGAACAAAGAATGTTTTTTTTTGTTTTTTTATTAAATGTTAATTATCGATGTTCGGATCGAAAGAAAACATCTGATTTTATTTTATTTTCATTTATGAAAATCTCCACGGCATTCGCGTCTACACTTGCCACTTAAGCAGTTTCCATTGGAGTAGCGGTGGTGGTTTCTTCAGTGTATTTGCCCTTGTCCTTTCCAAGAGCGGCCAATCGTCCCTTAGCACGACGTTCCAAGATGGCTTTACGGTCCTTGTCCATCTTCAATTTAACGATAACGCACTACAAACAACGACACACAGAGAGAAATCGAATTATTATTATGGATTTGGTCTTGATTTTTTGTGAGTGAATGAAAACAGTTGCAATGGATTTTCGTATGTGGTACACATGTGAACTGATTCTTTTTTACATGTCTAAGCTTTCATGTCTAGCACATCTAAGCTGACCAATGTTTTCTAATAGAATGGGCCAAATTTCAGTACTCACCTTCGATGGGTGGATACCGACTGGGGCGTTTGTACCGTTTGTCTTCTCACGTTGGATACGTTCGATGTAGACAACGAATTTTTTTCTGTACACTTGGATCACCTTGCCAACTGTGTTGCTTTTATAGTGACCTCGTACAACCTGCGTGCAATAAAGGAAAAGAGTGGACAGATGAGTTGAATGTACGAATTATTCGGCTAACACAGAAGTGTATTGAATTGTGGAAGTGGTACAAACCTGAACTTCATCGTCTTTACGGATTGGCATGCGACGAACGTTGTATTTTTGTCTCAATTCCTTGGACAATGGTGCCGACATCAACTTCCGACGAATGTGTGAAGGGGCAGTGAAGTGCCGCTTACGGTTTTTGCTTCGGTCTGAGGTAACGTGCTTGTTGAACTTCATGATGAACTAAATTAGCTTTTGTCGTGCTGAAATCGTTCGAAAGAGAAAAGAAGAAGAAAAATCGTTAGCTTGGTCAACACTTTGAATTGATTTTCAAATGCTTGTGAAATATGCTCAACACGCGTATAAGTGGCCACAGCAATGACTGAATGACAGCACATAAAATGCTTGCATTTTTAGGTTAGTCGACGACAACACACAATATTAACATTAAATTCGATTTTTTCCACATAAATTCTAAATTCCCATATGCATTTCATATGCAACGCAGTATTGGACATTAAACGAAAGTGTTGAGCATATTTTCGGAAATAGTTTTCGATGAAAAATTAAATAAATCACTTGAAAGCCACTCACCGACGGCCGTATCGTATAAAAACAACACGTGAAAGAGTGAGCACCGGAATCAGCGGTGACATCTCAACCTTGGTATCCGTCGCCATTTTGCCGAATTTCTCCTCTGTACAAGCGCAATCTGTCAGAACGCATGGCGCCATCTATCATTTTCGGGCTTTAGTTCTAAAACGAACCCGATTTACACAAATCCAATTCGAATGCGCGAACATTTGAAATTTCTTCTGTCGTTGGATGGAGAGTGTTCACGAATGGATATCGCACACATTGACATGATTTGCCACTTGAGAATTTGCAGGTGCTTTTCGATCCCGTTCATATGTACCATGAAGTGGAAAAGTTTCACCTTTTTTTCGTTATCAATTCCATTGTTCCTCTTTTTTGTCGCGCTCAGGTGATTTAGGCGATAGCGACCGATAAAGGGTGAAAGAATGGCAAAAAGAAATAGTAAGCACTTGAGATGAAAGAATAAAATTCACTTTCATTTCAATTGATTGAATTCCATTTTATTTATTCATTACTTTTTTTTCATTAAATGCTGGTCTACAAGTGAAAACATGTTAACTCTAAAAATTTATCGTTGAGGTAAAATCTTGTACTAGTAGGAATGGCACATTTTAGGACATCTCTTTGAATTTTTTTTCTTTTTTTTTATTTTTATTTTTCATTTACGACTAAATATGTCAACAACATTCTAAAATCGTGTATGTGTGTATATTTTGATTAGTGCACTAACTGCTATCTATAGACTTTCTATGTGAATTGTTTCTCTTTATTTTAAAAATGGTTTTTGTGTGCCAACTTAAATTCAATAATTGAACCTTTTTTTTTCTTCTAAATTTTTTCGTTTTTTTTTTATCTTTGAAATTTTCAAAAATTCCTTAGAATTGTTTGGCTCAATGAAGAGACCGCTGATGATACTATGCTACATTTTAATAGAGGCCATTTCTAAAGAACATAGCAAAAGCGATAGCGACCAAATTGAATAGACCGAATTTAATAAAAGTGGCCGCACCACTTTTCAAATTCAATTTCGATTCCAAATCTTCTGGTACGTCAACATACACCTTTTTGACAGTGAATGTATTGATGAAGTCTTGCAATTTATCCTTATCAACTAAATCGGTATCGTTTTTGCCCGACCAGATGGTGAAGGTGACTTTACGTTTATCCTTGCTGACTTCATCGAACAAGTTCTTCAATGAATCTTTGCTTTCGGCAGCGATGGCGGCACGAACTGGGAATGTAATTGGATAACCGACTGGAATTTCGCTTTCTTTGATGGCTTTTTTCATGGCATCAACATAGGTTTGATTGTAGCTGATTTTGTCTTTACCCAATTCAGTGGTCCATCCAATTGAGAGAGTTTTGTTGACAAGGTTTTCTTTTGCGTCAAGGACAGCACCGAAGAATTCCTTTGCATTGACTTCATCGCCAGCCGCTTTGCCTGGACCGGTAATGATATCCGCGTTGATCCAGAGATGTTTCAACTGTGAACACAATCATTTCAATTAGTAATTTTAATTTACAAAAAATGCGTTTTACCATCACACGTACGTCTTTTGGTTTCCATGATTGCACTGCCGATTTCAGGGCCTCGATTTGTTTGAAATCAAGTTTCACACCTTTCACACTTTTGTTTGCCGTTTGGGCGTCCATGTTGTAGGCAACAACTGCATCCAGAAATTCTTCCAATGATAAATCAGATTTGTCCGTTGGTGGGTGTGCCAAGATTGGAATTTTGGCTGGTGTCGAGGATCCGGCTGATGACCCTTCTGAAGCCGCTGGTGATGCTGGTTTTCCATCACCTTCATTTGCTTTTGCTTTAGTTGCTTCTGGCTTACCTCCCACAGGTTTATTATCGTCTGGTTTTGTTGTTTCAGGCTTGGGTACGTGATATCCAAAAACCACATCGGCTTCGATCATTTGAACTTTGTCTATTCGAATTACGAAAATCATTATTGTTATTATTCAAGAGAAAAATTTGCTTTTGTTTGATCGACCAAGCAATTTTACCTGGGTGGTTGAGAAAAAAAAATTTGAAATTCAAAATATGTGGCTTACCATTAGTGAGAGCCTGTTGAAGTTCGTCATGTGAATTGACTGCATGTGCCCATTTGACTTCAGCCAAGTTACCACAACAAATGCTTGAGCCGTGGCTAATTGGCATGATAAATGCTAATACAAATATCCACAACATGTTTACTTTAGATTTTTGATGTTAATTCAACCAGTCAAAGTGAGTAAAAAATGGTACAGAAAACTGAACTGAATTGGCTCAAAACGATAAATGCGCTCGACAAAAAAGTCGTTTAGTGTGAATTTTAATTTTTTTATCGTTGACCAACGAAGGCTCAAAGTAGACTGATGAAAAATGATTGAAACGACAAACTGTATATCGATCCAAATTAGCGATGGTTCACACTTTGATTCTCTGTTATCTGTGTATTAATCACGTAGGTATATGTGATAAAACGAAAATTGCGAGCGATATGATATTATTCAATATTCGCTTAGAATTTCGATCATCCGTTGTTCGTATGTATGAGAACGTGGCCAATGGAATTAATATCAGGTGCGGTAAATCAGCTTCAAACAGATATCAATCCAATTATATTGTACCCTTTATCAAAATTAATGCCAATAATATAGAGAGATTAAAGGTGGCTTCGAGGTGAATCATTGTTTTTTCCAACGTAATTCTCGTTGTTATATTTCTATATGACTTTTTCAAAGCACAGATTTAATTCAATAAAAAAAAATTCGTTGATATTTTTTCGCAATGGAATGACAAAATAAAACTATTAACTTCTTGATAAGCAAAACAAAATTAATTTGGCACACAAATAACACGAGCACAATGGGCAAATTATGAATATATAACAAATGGAATATTCAGTTTTTTTTTCCTCGTCCCTTTGCTTTGAGCCAGGTGAATGCGAGTGATGTACACTCCTTGAAATTTAAAATGCATGTATTGGTCCAGAGTTGGATGGAAGATGTGATTGGCTCATATATTTAGCCGCAAAATGAATGGAATTTTCTAGCTAGGTCTGGCGGCCAGCACACATGCAATGTGCTGGAATACATGTACGGAATTTTGCGCCTGTATATGACAGTAACATCCTGGAGAAAAACGAAGGAGAAACGATTATGTATCATGTTTCATTACCAAAAATAGTAACCAGCAACAACAATGAAACTCCGATTCCGAAATCGATAAATCTGCAAAAAAAAATTCACTTCAGTCAGATGCCCTTACAATGGCAAGCGCAAGTCTTGAAACACCCGAACGAACGTCGGAAAAAATCAACAAAACTTTGACAATTCGTATGACGGTTGTGCTACTGCTACTACTGCTTCTTCTTCTTCTTCTTTCTCTCCTTCGTTCAAATCAATCACGACTTGGGAAAAACACAAACACATTTTAATTTCTGTACTAAAACCAAGTAAACAGATGCGAACGCTTACAAACGTCTTGTGTGCCGTCGTTAACGACGTTTGCTGTTGCACTCAGAGAATCAAAGAGAATAAAATTGCATGTCGCATTCGCTAGACGATGTTCAAACCTCTTGCGGATAATGTGCAAACCTAATTCCATATTGACTGCGAAATTTGAATGCGTGCAAGAATACACAATCGATTTTATCGGTTTATGCGTTTTAATTCTTATCAGAAATTCGTTTGAATTTCGCTGGATTTTAATTATTTTTAGTGAACGAAAATGCGATTTTCTTATTCATTTTTTTCAACGTGTTTTGTATCTTGATTATTAAGTAACGATTGTAAAATTCGAGTATTGTCGATAAAAAATTGTCGGAAATGATTTTGCCCTTCTTGAGTATTTCGTCATAAGTTATCATCTCGTTTCCTTCAATTGTTCTAATGTGGAAAACACCAAATCATTGTGAGTCATTTATTTGGACATGGAAACTCGGTAGATATGAAAATATGAAAAAAGTGGTAAATTTTCACATAAGACTTCGATCGGAAGTAAGAAGCTCAATGGGATGGATTTCCTAGTTGAAGAAAAATATAGAATTTCAGTTCGTCGTGAATAGTTTCACTTAAGTTCATACAAAACACTCCATAGTCATCCGCATTCGTATTGAATTCAGTACGGTCATATGAGAAGGCCGTTTTGTTGGGTTTTAATACAAAATCGATAGATTTCATAACGAAACGTACTGCGATTATATTGGCTTAATGTTCAGTTAGAATATATTCTAATACTAGTGTATTTCGGTGTGGTGCTTGCATCATAAAAATGAACGATTTGTGAAAACACGTGTCAGCGACAATATGAAAACACGTATATGTCCTCATATGTATTTGAATGAGTTTATTTCGGATGTTTCAGAAACCATTGAAATGAAAGTGATGAGCGAACTTTGAGCCGACTTTAAATTGCTTAAAATAATAGCAAAAAATGCGTAACATTTGAAGAAGGAATGTTTTGTTCATCGAACTTGAGCGACAAAAAGGCTGTTGAATGTTATTTGCGATTGAAATACGTTAGACGATAAAAGACGAAATCAATTGAAATGACCCACGTCAGTTATTCGAACGTGCTGATAATTTGACCATTTCAAGATCATAAAAGTAAAAAAAAATTGGAAAAATTTACATTATTCAGTTGACTACGGATTCTTTAGGAAGAAAATACGGGAAAAAAACCCATCTTAACTGGAATTATCCGTTGGTTGAACTTTTATCCCGATGTAAATGTGCGAATGAGGCAGTAAATAATGCTTGGTGAAATGATATTCCTTGGTTCTTGCTGAAAAATCCATTTTAATTGCTGTCCTATGCACCCATCTGAGTGCCTGCGCCCATGAATGCACATTGCACATACAAGCGTCAGAAAGTCTTTTAATAAAATAAAAAAACTTATGGGCCAGTACGTGTAATTCACTTTCGCATATACATGCATTCCCATGTAGATTCTCTGCAAATTGCACATCTATCCGGATTATGAACTTTGAAAAAAACCGGAATAAAATTTTTATTCGTTTACTATACGCGATGCGCATAATTTTATTCGCATGTAAACTAATCGCATCCACCTTATTAAAATTTTTTATCAATATTACGTAGCTCAACATTTTCTGGATTTTGCTCAATGGGCGTATTCAAATAGTACAGTTTACGGGTTTGACATATTATTAAGTCTACCCGTGTGGAAAATTTTTTCAATGTCCCAATTTAGTCGACTGACTGAAAGAATAACTAAACGTGATTGTCTCCATACAAAACGCATGATTTCAATCAACTTAGCCAGTTTTAGTTGTGTTTCACTACAGTTACATACAACTGAGTGACTGTTAGTCATTTTATTTGCACACGGGTATCGATTTAGAATTGATTGAATTATTAATTTTGTAGTGAATAGCAAAAAGTCACATTGAAATGGCATCCAGCAGTGTAATAACATATAAGTTCTAATTAGTTCCGAAGAAAATTATTGATTCTGTGGAATAACGTTTATTATTGAGCGTAAAATAGGAACAAGTGTGATTGATAAAACTAGAATCAAATATTATGGAATGAAATCGCTGCATATGCCAAATCATTGCCAACTAAGCTCAACCGATATCGTGCAACGAAATCGAAAGGGCCAAAATTACTCAGGCGGCTCATTTCAACATTGAATTTCCTCTCCATTTAATTCATTTGTTATCACGGAGGACGGTAGTCCGACCAGTGACGCTCCATATACTGTGCATTTTTAGCCACAATGTCAAAAAATGCCAATTTTTGCGTCACTGGTATATATACAGCTAATATGCTATTTTCGCAGGACGGTACTTGGGCCCCGGAGTGCCAGGGGCCGTTTGAAAGGCCTTGGCCCAAATAGCCGAAAACGCCATACCACACTGGCCAAAAAGCCTGTCTGCTCAAAAATACCTTGCTCCGTAAATTAGCCCCAATTTTCACCCCCTCCCCCTCACAGGGGGTGTCGGAGGGGGGATGTGGAGGTGTCCAAAAAATGTTGCACATCCCCACCTATCCAACGCCGGTCCAAACTCCCCGATCGGTTTACAAACAAAAAAGTTATGGGCATTTTTAGTAAGTACTTGGTTTTCCAGAAGTGAAGCATTTCGTGCGTCCGTCTGTCCACTTTTTGACCCCCCCAAACTTCCCGTGCCACTATGCCTATGTTGTAGCTGGCGTGGGGTCACGTTGAAATCCACCGTCAAAATGACTCTCTGCATTGGGAGAAAATTTGCTATAGCTCTTGGCCCCAAAACATCTCCGACTTTTACAAACGTCGATTTCTCAGCCCAGAGCAACGAAGACATCAATCTGGCAAAACTAGTTGGTAGCCATTTGGGGAGACCTTCAAAACATTCCATACACACATGGCCACTTTCACGTCATTTAAAAGAGAAAAGTCGATTTTTATGAAAAATCGATCCCCTTAAATTTCACACAAATGGCGATTACTCAAAATTGGCCCAAGAGTTTTCAACCAAAAACTGAGCGTTTGTAGCCGGCATCCATACAAACAAAACAGCATATGCCACATATCCGGGAAAATTCGTATTTCGAAGTTTTGGGCATAGGCAATTCATCAATGAACGGAAATTGTACAAAGAGTCGCATTCTACGATGAAATTGCTGCCAAAAATACGCTCTACTGGCTGAAAAAGGCTCACGAAAGACCATATCTGCTCAATTTTCGACGATCAATCGATTAAAAGTGGTCCCAATGCGATCTGAGGCCATTTCATGGTCGAAAAATAGGTCGGATTGAAGTGAATTTTTCAACTTGCTCTATTTTCACTGAAAATAACATTTTTGTTCGGAAAACACGTGAAATAGACCTCTGACGACATTTTGTCCTTAGAGAACTGCTATTTTTTTCGTGAAAATAATGGGAGTCTACCAACATTTGAATATCCATTTCGTTGTCATTTTGGTCATAAATCGGTATTTTTACATCTGAATGTATGAAATTGAACTTTTGTTCGGGGGATACATAAAAAATGCACTTTCCAGAGCTTTGGTGTACGCTCTTACAGTGATTT